ATTGCAATACTACCAAAAAAAAAACAAAAAAAAAAAAAAAGTAAACAGGGAAAAAGAAAGTAATAAATTTCAAACTTTTGAAAAGCCCTTCAAATTACATACATATTTCGCGTATGTATGTAATTTGAAGGGCTTTTCAAAAGTTAATTGTCATGCGTTTTTCATAAGAAAATAAGCACTTGGACCGAAAGCTAATTAGAATTGATAAATTGATCTCATTCATTGTCTTGTTTCCTGATATCTTAGCTCATTATGCCTTGTATTAGTTGCACATTATTTTATCAAGTAATACTTGATTCATTTGGTAAAACCTACTCCTTAATAAATTCATCAAGATATATGGGGTTCACATTTTCAATCTTACCAAGTAAAAGTACTAGGAAGTATTTCATAAGATAAAACAAATGTTTGGTTTAGATTCGACTCTTTCTTTTTATATTTTCATGTTTTTGTATTGATTTTAATAAAACTACATACTCCGTGTCTTTTAGTACAGTCAGTGTTGATTTATTCATATTCAATTTTTTGAGGTTAGTATAGTATAGGTTGTGCTATGGGTAAGGCTAGCTTTTTGTGAGATCGAAAAAGAGATTAATCCTTAATTTAGATAACAATAAGATAAATCAAATGAGAAATTTCTTCATAGTTACAATATATCGGTAGACTCCTCAACCAAGAAACATTCTATAAATTACAACGATATAAAATAGGGTATGAAAATGTACAACAGACAACATCAATGGTAACTTGTTGAAATAATGTTTTTATTTTATTAAATTGTTCTTATGAATTAATCTCTTTGTATATGTCATATGATTTTTTACTTATGAATTAATCTATTTATTAAAAAAATGATGGTAATTGGAGATAGGGGACTCCTTACTTCACCCTAATTCGCCAGGTATTTGACCACGATGGGTGAAAAATAAAAAATATATAAATATATAAAAAAAATAATAAAAAAAAGGGTTAAGATACGGCTAGAGTTATCTTCCATATTATTCAAAATATTGTATTAGGTTGAAAAAATTCAAAATAAATTTCAAGACATAAAAGTTGGGTAGCAAAATCTCAAAGGATCTTGGGACAACCAATCACAAAGCTGATTCATTGGTAGAAAAGCAATTCGGCTACCTGAGCCTTTTTTAAGCTTGGATGTTTTCCTTTAAACTTTTGCTGCGAGTACAATGTGATGCAGACGCCAAACATTTTCTATACATGTATAGAATTTCCCTCTTTTTTGGCTGAGAAATACTGTATGATAGAGAGGAAAAAATTAATGAAATGAAGTGGTCAATGAAGCATTTATCTAATCAATTCTAAGCACATAATAATGTCTCATGTATTAAGTAGAGTATTGGTGACTAGAATAGAAACAATTTTTTTTTTTTTTTTATGGATAGAATAGAAACATTTTGACTCCTCCTTACGAAGAACAAATCATTATAAGTTGACTAGTTTTCAAGACTAATTTGATCCAAAAGCACCCAATTCAAGTTATGTTTAGAAGAACAGTCGAGTAAAATATTTTTGCGTACAACAAATATCGGTTCCAAAGTGAAGTTAAACTTGAGTTGAATCTTTTCAAACCTTCCAACAGGTAGCTAAATTTTTGATCGATTTGCTGGTTAACGCAATTCTTACTTTTCATTCAGCCATCAAACTAAATGTTTTCCATTATTATAGTAATGTCTTAAAATAACCTTGGGTATACCTTGCACCTTGATATATATACAGTAATTTTCACTTTGCCATTTAGGTTCTGTTTGGTTTGATATAAATTTTTTTCAATAAAAGCTTATATATTTTCAAAGAAAACCTCAATTACAAATTAGTTTTCCTTTGATTGGTTCCTTAAAAAAAAAAGTTATAGAAAAATTAAAAAAATAAAAGGTGAACATGTGAGGATAGATGGAAGGAAAGTAAAAAGAGGAAAATGTGGCTTATATTGTTTTATAAAGGAAAATGTTTTCAACCATTATGAATGCAATTTTCCACCATTGGAAAAACGGTTTTACACCCTTGCACAAATAGACAAACCAAACAAAGTAATGGGATAAAATAAGAAATTTAATTTTCATCGAAACGGAAAACGTTTTACATCAAACCAAACGGAGGCTTATTTCTTTTAAATCAACTCAAGAAACCTATACATTTTTTTTTTACATGAAAACTAATACTCTTAAAAGACAGCATATATAGATCATTGGCCTTTGATTTTAGAGATCTGAAACAACATTGAATCTGACACCCCTAAAACCACATCTATAATTATTCCCACATTCAAAAAAAAAATAAAAATAATGATGTGGTTTAAATAAATCCAATGGTCATAATTTAATTAATCAAGCCAAGTAGCTATACATATAGCTTTAGGGTTGGGTTCTCCACTAATTAATCATATAATTAATTGGATTAAATATTTTGTGTATTAAAGCATAAAATTATATAGATGCTCTGCTCCCAAAAAGGGACACATGCATCAATGTCAATGGACATTTGACTGTACCCTATACCCCTAATTGTAGGGTTTGTTAACCCTAAATGGAATAACTTACTTAAGAAGCAGCTACAGGACAAATTCCTTTACACTAAAAATACTAATTATGTCCCTTGCAATTGTAAAGCATATACCTTGTACATTAGTTACAATAACTTATTATAAACATGATTAGTTATAATATTGTTAATTAACAATATTTCTTTGCACTATTTCATATAATGACTTTTTAAAATGTCTTAACACTTAAAAATCGTTGTGATGGGGGAACTAAGGGGCTGGTTGGAGGCATGGGAGCATGTATCACGAAACCATGACTTGGTACTTTTCGAACTTTATAATTTCTTTATATTTTTTACTTTACTTTTAGGACATTTTAATATTACCTGAATATTCCTTAACAAATAGGAAGAATATCCTTATTACATAATTAAATAAGATCAAGAAGAAGGTTTTTAAAAAAAAGTTATGTGAAGTAGGAATATACTTGGTATTCTTTAATTTCCTGAAGAAAAAAAAAATATTTCTATCTTTTTCAGATATAGGTACAAGATATGGTTTATAATGGTTTAATTTAAACCCATACGATATGACAATTTTTAGAATCTTAAATCAATATCTCTAACCTCTTAGGTATGAGATTTAAAAATATAGAGTTGGGGTAAAGGAGGGGATGAGTTTTGCTCATACCAACACTTCTTCTGGGCATTGAATAGAGAAAATAATAATATTCTAGAGTTGAAACAATGCAAACATATGGTGTAAAAAATCAAGTTCCAATCTCATTATAACATCACAATTTCATTTCTAATTCCAACCCATATCACAGTGGGAACAAAGCGCTCCTTACATTTTATTTCTTTCTCCATCCCTCATCACACAATACCCTTTTTCCTCCCTTGTACCTGTCGTTATCTTATCTTTTCTTCTCTATATATTGTACATTACTTTTTTTTATTTACATTTAACGTATATAATTTAGATGTGAAAGTTATCATACCTAGTTAAGTAAGAAAAAGTTCCAACATATGTTAAGTAAAATAGACGAAGGTCAAGACATTGACACATTAAATTTCCAATTAATAAAGCAAACGTTAAATATCCCATGAAATAATGATATTGAAAAGTACTTTTTCTTAGCATATATTTAACAATGATATATAGATATACATAGATATACATATAGTAATTCAATACATATATATATATATATATATGTATAAGAATAATAATGGTTGGATCAATAATTATATTGTATCACTAAAATTGTGTGTAAAATGATTAATTTCATTGGTGGATATAGAACTCCTTTACACTCACCACCTTTTCTATCTTGACCCCTCACTACTACCAATTGGTGAAAGTCTCTTCTCTCAGCCTAATAATCGTATGCTATTACTCACGGCACCACCTAATTCGTTTGTTATATTGTTCTCAACAAAATAAAAGGACAATAAAAGGAAGTAGATTATGACATTAATCATAAACTTCTCATGTACATGTAAAAGGACAATGAAAGGAAGTAGATCGTAATAAAAGGTTGGTAGTGAACTAACATTCTTATGCACGTCTTATATATATGTATTGTATTACAATCCTCTCTTGAATTTGAACCATGTATATCATAATAGGGTCTCCAAAACTTGCTTATTAATAAAATATAAAAAAAGAAAAAATAAATAAATAAAAATGAAGAAATGCTTATTAATTAAAAAAAATGTAGAAAAATAAACCCATTTAAAAATTTGACAAGTATTTTAAGGAAGAAATTTAAGGTTGTAAACGAGCAAAACTAATCAAAAAATTGAATTGTTAGCAAGATGAAAATTATATGTTACAGGCCAGTGTTAAAATTATATACTTTATTAATATAATTATTTATACCGTTATATATCTTTTTTAAAGTACGTGTGAAAGTGCTATGTTACAAGTAATATGAATAGGAGGATGTATTATTGAGCGTCTTTATTGTATTTCATAATTTTCACTAGCTTATTACTTAAACCTATCTAGATCACGCCTCAAGGTAGTATAGGGTTATAGGGCTGTGTATGGATCCAACCTAATCACTTAATTAGTGGTTGATTAAGATAATTTATAAACCATCACATATGTTTTGTCCTCTTATATTCAAAGCTACTTTTCTCCCCGCGCTAAATTGATGGCAAAAGATATTGGTTCATTAACACAAGATCATCGAATATTATATGTGCATCTTGTACACATTCCTTGAACTCAACATATTATAACTTTTTTTAGTTGTATAAAGCTATATATATATATATATATATATATATATATATATATATATATATATATATATATATATATATATCCTTATTTAAACTCAATTTCGGTTATTTTAGAAAAAAATAAGTGAAAATTAGGAGGATCAAAGCTTGCTAAGAAACAAGTGCAAGCAATAATATGTGATGTTTAATATTTTGAGAATGTTTAAAAGGAAATTAAATCAATTTATATATTAATTACTTATAACAATTATTATTACTTTACACAGAAGGGGATCATCCACCAAGGCCAATCGGAGTCCTAATCTATGTAAATTACTATATTTGATTAATTAGTTATTAAACTTAAATAACCCCATTTAACTTCTAAATATTAGTTGTTAAATAGAAACAAATTAAAAAATAAATAAATTAATTAATTAATTAATTAAAAATAAAAAAAATAAAACCTATAAAATTGCGATATAATGATTATTTTTGAGCTAGAGATTAGAGTGTTTCAAATCTTGGTCCCTCCAATGTATTTGGCCGAAATCCATCACAAACTATAAAGTTTGTAATTCCCAACCTTAAACAAAAAGTATTTTATCACATATAATTATAGTTGAAGGACCATACAAAAAATAAAAAAATAAAAATTAGTAACGAACCCAAAAATTTTTAATCAATATAATAAAATAATATTTCCACAAAAAAAAATATTATTAAATAATTAATTGGAAGGAAATCACTCCTTTCCAACCATGTAATGCCAAAATGCTAGAAGATCGATATCTATAAGCACAACCAATTAGTGATGCTTAATTATGTACAATTACATAATTTAACTTTGGACGTGAGCATTATTAATTTTGCTCACTACCCAATCATACAAGGAGTCTCCAACTCTCCATAATTATACTACATATATATATACCTCACCTTACACTACACCTAGCTATCCAATTCTAAGCTCACTACTCCATTTACTAAGCTCTAGCAAAACCAACTTCCCTTTCTCTAGCTTTCCCTCTCCAATTTGTACGTCCATGGCATCAAAAATCGAAATGGAACCACATGTCATAGTTATACCTTTAATGTCTCAAAGCCATCTAATTCCCATGATAGACCTATCTAAGCTCTTAGCTCAAAGAGGCCTTATTGTTACCATAATCACTACACCACGTAACGCCCTTCGCTACCAAACTACCATCGATCAAGCCATAAGCTCCGGCCTTTGCATCCAACTCGTGCCACTTCCTTTTCCGTGCAACAAGGCCGGACTACCCGAAGGATGTGAGAACCTTGATAGTCTCCCATCTCCTGATTTGCAAACAAAGTTTCTTGTAGCTAGTTCTTTATTGCAAGCACCACTTGAAAATTACCTTAAAAAAATGGATCTAAAACCTAGTTGTATTATTTCTAGTCTCCCTTGGACAAGTGATGTAGCACATAAATTTAATATTCCTAGGTTTGCTTACCAAAGTATTTCTTGCTTCACTCTCTTATGTTCTCACAATATGATGTTTCATAACGTGCATGAAAACATAGAACATGATAATGAACCGTTTTTGGTGCCGGATGTCCCGGATAAAATAGAGTTCACTTATGCTCAATTGCCTAAGATGATGAGGAGATGTAGTCCACGAATTGATGATGGTGTTGACATGAAAGACATTCGCGATCAATTTAAGCAAGCTTGTTCATCCGCGGAAGGGTTGTTGGTGAACACATTTGAAGAGCTTGAGTTTGAGTATGTGAAGTCATACGAAAAGGCTGTGATGAGGAATGTCTTTTGTGTTGGCCCTCTTTCTCTTTGCAACAAAACGGTACTAACCCGTTCTTTTTTAATCCCAATATTTGAAATTTAACTATTTAGTATTCACACACATGATCTTTGTGATTTATATGTTAAGAAAGATACAGTCATGTAAGATCTTAAATAGATTCATCTCATTATAGATATATAAATTTTCAAAGTTTAAACATATTTTTTTTATATAGATTTATCAAAATGATAATAAAAGATAATAACAATATAAGATGTGCAATTAATAAAAAGTGTGGAATTCTTACGTTGCAATTGAAAAAGAATTTGATTAGTAACATGATGTGTGCAACCATGTGTATGTTAACAAAAAAAATAAAATTTCTTCATTTTTTTATTTTTGTAAATTTCAATTCAAAGGTTTCTCCAAAATTGGGTTATAAAATGTAAGAAAATGCCATTAAAGTTGGTGTTATTTATGCAGGATGAAAACAATGGGAGAATGGCCACAGTCGATGAGCATTATTGCTTAAGATGGCTTGACTCCATGAAATCAAGATCAGTGATATACGTTTGTTTTGGCAGCCTATGTCATTTACGGCCTAAGCAATTGATTGAGCTTGGTAAGGGCTTAGAAGCATCAAATTGTCCATTCATTTGGATAATTAGAGAAATTGATTACAATGAAGAAATAGTAGAGTGGATAATAAATGAAAACTTTGAAGATAGGGTTAAAGGAAAAGGACTAATAATCAAAGGGTGGGTGCCTCAAGTGTTGATATTATCCCATCCTGCGACAGGAGTGTTTTTAACACATTGTGGATGGAACTCGACATTAGAAGGAGTAAGTGCTGGTGTGCCTATGATTACCTGGCCAATGTTTGCCGAACAATTTTATAATGAAAAGCTAATTGTTCAAGTGCTTAAAATTGGGGTTAGAATAGGGGTTGAGGTCACCATGCAATGGGGAGAGGAGCAAAATGATGGGGTTTATGTAATGAGAGATAGTGTGAAAAATGCAATTAACCAACTTATGGATGAAGGGGAGAAAGGACAAGAAATAAGAAAAAGAGCAAAAGAACTTGGTGAGAAAGCTAAAAAGGCAGTAGGAAAAGGTGGTTCTTCATTCTTGAACGTTACTTCTTTTATCCAATATGTTAGGCAACAATATGTAACGTGTAAGTGATTAAGTCAAAGATATATAAGCCAAGAATAAAGAAATTATATATTGCCTCCACTTCATATTATTTGTAACTTTGAGATATTATTTGTGAAATATTTAATATTTCAAAATTGCAAATAATATGACACATATATAGGTAGTATATATTATTAGGGTGGGATATTGAAGAATAATTATTCTATGTTCTTCAATCCCTATAAATAATAAATTAACATCTTTTTGCACGGATATTAATAAGGATGTAATACGTAAAGTAAGTGATGGTCGGGGACAGTGTGATCCAAATAATTGAGAGAAATGTAATTAGGAAAAAAGTTTGTTCATCAAAAGATAATTGTGTTGTGTTACTTGTACTTCTTTGTTATAAATTTAATAGAAATATGTTGAATATCTTCATCTCCTATACCAAAAAAATCTATCATAGTTCACTTACTCGGACATACTTTTGTATCGTGTAAGTAAATAGTAAGCACCATGTCGAGGCTTCTTTCAATCTTTCATAGGTGCATGAACTAGGATTGTGTTAAGAAAAGTGTTGAAAAAAAATAGTTGATTGTCAACGATCGACTCCCTTATTAAACATGGACGTCAAATGGCACAAAGGCATAATCGGGCCAGGGGTTGCCCATGATGTTTGACAGCACACTTCCCCTATAGAGTTTATTTTAGACAAGCCTTAGCTTTTAATTCCAGTGAACATCCATTTGACTTTAGTACACTAATGACTAATGGCCATTTAGAGGGGCAAATGGTGGTCCGTCATATTTTGGACAAAAGAACGTCTGGGAATTGTTGGTTTTTTTATATTGGTCCCAAAATACGAGTTTTGGCTGTATGGGGTCCGAAACTCTCTGACAATTTATATAGTGTTCAGGAAATATTTAGAATGTTTTGTACGTAATATTCTAGAGGGGATGTCAAAGTACTCTAGAATATTCAAGGATGTTCTTGAACATAATAGGACGTATCTAGAATCTTCCTTATATGTACACTAGTTTGGTGTCCCGTGTGATGTCCGGGTTGTTAAAAGAATTTAAAGATAAACTTTTTATCTATATACCTAGTTTAAAATATGTCATTGATACAAAATTAGTTAGAAATTGATGTGATTTTTTGACGATTTAAATTATGCAGTAGGCATAAAATGACTAATAATAATATTGGTGAAAATGCTTGATTTAAAAAATAGTAAAAAAAAAATAGCAAAGTAGGTTTGAAATATTAGAAATTTCTAAAAATTAGCCAAAATTAAAGTAAATCAAAAAAATTATTCTAAGCCTGTTGGGTTGACCCAAACCCGATATTTTGGACTAGTGTGAACATTATTTGACCCGTGACCTAAAGTTACTCGGCCCGAAATGACCCATGACCCGACCCGATTGATAGTTCTACATAAAGCATTAAAATCATATTAGATTGTGAAGTATTTTATTTAAATTGATTAGGATATATTATAAATGAATGTTGTACTTTTTGAACTACTTCCTTTGCTCTAAAAAAATTATAATATAAAAATAAATTATATGATAATTATTAAATTGTTGTCTACATGATGCGACATTTATTGAAAAGTTAAAACGCCAAGTGTTGCTGTCTCGTGATCTGGCAAAACTAATAATTTATTTTGTACCTGTGAAATAGAGGTATTTTATCGGAAATAAAACTCTAAATCAACAATTTTATCCTATAAATCTATCCAAATTTTATTGAAAATAAAACTCTCAACTAACTTTTTTTTTTTATCCTACAAACTCTATTGAGCTTTATATATTAACTAGATGAAGCTCGATGCACGGTTGTTTGTATTTTTTAAAATAAATATGTTTTGTATTTATGTGATAAAATTTGTTATTTATTCGTTATACGTTGTATACCATTTAATATATTTATTTTACAATAAATTGTGAATTTCTTCTCATTCGTTACATATTTAGATAAAGTTCTTAATTTCAAAAGATATTATGTTATATTTAATTAATTTAAACTTTAAAATCTCATTCGCCAATTTTGCTTATGTGACATTTGAATTATATAATTCTAAAAGAAATTACAACTCTCTTATTTGATGGGCTATCATTAAAACTTATAATCCTACCTAGCCTGTTAAGAAAACTTTATTCTACGTAGCTTTCTAAAAACTCGGGAAAAAAACTCCCCTTTATATATATACTAGTTTCGTGTCCCGAGCGATGCCCAGGTTGTTTATTAAATTTTAGGATAAACCTTTTTGCTTGAATATAATGTTAAATACGGTCATATAATTACTTTTGATAATGCAGGATATTTAGACATACGATATCATACTTAAATTATTTTTACTAAATTGAAAGTATTTGTACCGATTAAAACTTATTTTTACTATTTTCTATTATTTTAAATATATTATAAATGGTTCTTATTTTAAAGAACTTTTTAAAACGAATTTTATGATGAATATAGAACCGAGTTATTAGATTTTTATTAAAAGTTATGATTAATTTTGTATATGTGAAATATTAGTAGTGTATCGATAATAAAATTCTACAACATGCATTTTTATCATTAAAAATCTATCCAAATTTCGATTATTTAGCATCCTATTTGTCGCCTACGTGGCGCGACACTTGACGAAAAACTAGAATGTCAAGTGTCACTGTCTCGTGGCCTGGCAACGAGACCGCCACGAGACCGACTTTATATATTAGTGAAGTGATATAGTATGATATTAGATTATATGATATGGCTGACTAGTGTGTAAAATGTTCTAGATATGAGATTAGTTTCCAGAATCCTCCAATTAAGAAAGTTAGGATCTTTCTAGAAATATGAGTTAGGAAAAATGGATGCTTATAAATAGAAAATCCCGTTCATTCATTTGTAAATTTCAGCCAGCAACTTTAAGATTTGTACAACCTCTTTCAAAGTAATCTGTGTATTTTTTGAAAAACATTTGTGAGCATCTTTTTTTAACGTAGCACTTTCAACTAGTATGCCGCATGAAAGGAACTTAGGGAAGTAAGTCAACATGTGACATAAGGACCCAAGGAAAAGGGTAAAAAAAAAAAGTCGTTTCCTTGAATTTTTATATTTGTAAGATAACTTGTTTTGCTAACATTCATCCATATCATCACCTCAAAGTTTTTTTATTATGTTGAAATGGACTGAAAAAGTTACTATTGCTCCAAGTGATAACACCACTTTCCAATTCTTGTTTATATTGTTCTACAAACATTGCACAACATAGAGAAAACTATGTATTCAATATGCTGACTATCCCTAATCCACTCATATTGCCACAAACATAAACATTTGTATAGTTGGTGAAATCAACCACATAGGTCGTTACGAACTTCCCCATTTCAACATAAATATCAAATTTCTAACATAAATAAAATTGTTAACAACTTCTCCATTTCAACATAAATATCAAATTTCTAAAAAAAATAAATGAAAAACATAAATAAAAAAATCAATAAGATTGTTATAAAACATTGTAATTAATTAACTTAGGTCACTTTGTGACAATATTTATTACTTATTATGGGCTAAGAATATACTTAAAAAACAATTGCTTATGTTCAAGGAACTAGGTTGCATATATAATCTTTTGTGAAGCAGCTAATGAAAGCTACACAACAAATTCACAACAAAATTGATTTATTTTGACCTTTTCCATATAAATGAATAAGCTGCTACGTTAAAGAGTGTTACACAAGTATATAATTATAAATAATCGTCGAAGTTAAGCATTTGCATATATGACTATCAAATTATTACAATTAATCTGAAACAAAATAAGTGACAATATATGTTAAATAAATTGATGAATGGGTTTTGGGTAACAAATGTAATAACACACTATCCAAATTCAATCCGATTTGTCATTCACTTATAATTTTATATGAACTAGGGATTCCAACATGCACGATGCGCGCGGCATAGCTAGTCCTTTGAGAAGAATTATTACTGATGTTCTTTATGTCTTATGTCTGTTTGTGTAATATTTATTAAAACTATTTGCATATAGACGATAAATGTGTTGGATGTTGTATAGTTGTGCAATGTTCTAAACTTTAGTTAAGCTACTTTGATTTACTGATTAAGTGGTAAAAAATATTGAGTTTAAAATATAAATGTCTAATAAATTCTAAATAGAAAAATTAAAACAAAAAGAAATAGAGGGTAAAAGATGGATTTACATATTGAAATAAAACATAACTTTTTAAATCAATTTAGGGAATTCAATAGACAATTATAAGGCTTTTGAAATCAAATGGGAGCAAATATGTAAAAGAACATTTTTAGAGATATAAATGTCCATGCACTATTTACAAGAGTATCTTTAACTTTTTATAAGGTAGGGAAGGGATGTATGCTTAGATTTTGTACATAGTAAATTACTTTTTACATGAGTGTATGTTTAAATTCAAACTCATTGAAAGTGATGGGGAATGGTAAGGATTTCCACCTCTGAAGTGCCTATGGGGATTACTCATAATCATGACGTCAAACCCTTACCATTAGACCAACTGGTGACGTATGTCAAATATGTATAAAATGTTAAGATACAATTACAAATAAAATCTGCACATGCAAGTTATACCCAAATACCACCTCCTATGTAAATAAACATCATCAAAGCCCAGCAGGCTAGCACATCTCGTGGACTCATGATGTCTTAGCGGCAAGATTTGTTATTGCCCGACGATGGTACAAAGATCGCAGTTTTTTGTGTTTCTGAACAAATGCTGCAAGCTCAATCTCCCTTTCGAGGAATTGGCTGTGAAGGTTATCAGAATCTTCATCTGTCTTGTTCGTTTCCTCTGCAATTTAACAGCATATAATAAGATAAATTGGGCTTATAATAAGCATATAGTGTGCAGCATATAATAAGATAATTTAAAAGCAGATAATAATTTTTCTGATTAACTTTCCATACAATAAACCTTGCACACTATAATTTTACTGAAACCCGATACTTGATGCTAAATCATATAACCTTATCTAAGAAACAATGGCAGACCAAGTCTTTTCTATCCACATCTTTCTAACTACACTCAGATTATAGCCAGGTATGGTGTGCTGATACTTACCTTGCAGTCTGTGCAGAAGAGATGCTGAAGAGTAGCACTTCAAGAGATCTTCCTTTTTTTTCTCCAAGTCATTTAGTTTCTCCAGGGCTGCAGCTAGCTCAGTTGTCCGAATGATTCTACACTGCAGCAATACAATAAAGATCAGAAAAAGTATCAACAACTTTTCCAAATACAAAAACTAATTTTTTAAGTTAATATATGAGTGAAACTCACTTGATTTCTCAGCTCCACAATCTGTGGCTCTTTGTCCAAATTTGAACCTAACAGAACAAAAAATTTGTAAACATCACATCAATCACAAGTCACTGACTCATTTCTAACAAAACCTGTATCAAAAATATTTGATTGACTTACTGGCAAGATGGAGCATTTCCTTCTTTAATTCATCTCTAACCTGATCAGCAAAATAGATTGGTCAGAAACATGAAAGCAATATCAAAAGCTTTATAGCAACAGAGGGTTGATGTAGAGACAAGGCACAATAAGGGATCAGTCTATGCGACATGACCATGACAGGGACTAATCCAAGATGCAAACTTAAAATAGAGAAAATCTCAAGAAACACGAAATATCTATATCAAATACAGAACATTATCTAGAGCAAACATCCAAAATCTCAGAAATAGATGGTTAAATCTATAATCATCAAGTTTAACCCCACTACTAATCGTATACACTACTCAAAATTTCCCAGACAAAAAAAGTAAGCCACTGAAAGTTGCTTTAAATAAGCTTTACATTTCAGCTTTGGGAGATGTGCACAGATATCTTTTATATGTTTCACATTCAAAAAAGCATTGTAGAAGATATTAAGTGCAATATGGAGAACTTTTGATCATCACAAATTGTTTTTAGACATACAGGATTAACCACAGAAGCAAACTGGTTTTTTGAATCAGATTCTGATCATTATTTCGCAACAAGTTAAAATCTGTTTTCTTTATAAATTGTTTGGGTTTGCAAGAGTTTAGAATCTTTAGATCCAGCACGACTCCAGATTGGATTGGAACTAACCCCAGATGTGCATCAGGTATTATCGGTTCACATAAATTTTGCTAAGCTGATTTTAAGACTGAGGTTCGATTCAGGTATGGATTCCCATACCACTTTAATCAGATCAATGCAAATGTTTGATACAATCAATTTCCAACAACAAAGGTCCTTAGGCATGATGACTTACAAGTTACAACTCCCTCATGACCTGTCCCTCTATTTCATTCCCAGAGAAACTGATTGATCGTGAAGCCAAAACTTTTACTATCAATCCTTACCAATATATAAATAAAAGAAAACCAATTATCAAGTTTTGGGGAGGGGGTGGGGGACGCATCATTTTGACTTTTTGCACTATTCACACACCCAATTTTTTTTTTTTTTAACATTATATGAAAAACATTAAATGAAAACAAAGTTAGTAGGTAAGATGTTGCTAGGTTTATCTAGGGGTGAATTACTGTAAAGACTATCAATATAATAAAATTTCTGGATCTTATTTTTTTATAACTCATACTTCAATTTATTACTATGTACAATTTTATTTTATTTATCTTTATGTGCAGATCTAAAACTTAGGCCAAAAAACTATTAAAAAAAATTAGGCCAAAAAAATATCGGTTTCTGGTTTGGATCCAACTAAGATTTTAGAATTTTGGTTCGGTTTGGATTGAACCAAATCCAACTTTGGTTTGGATTTGGATCGAAAATTCCAAAACCGAATTATTTTGGTTGGGTTATACCGAACTTTCACCCCAAGGTTTATCTATATGTATGTATTCTAAAAATTAACTTTTTGATAATTTTAAATTGAATCATATTAATGGTCAAATTTTTGCATTGACAAGCACGTACAGCCAAAGTGATGCAAGTAAACCAGGACAAAAGGAGCAAAACAAAAGCTTTCAATTTTAGGTGTGTTATAAGTAATGTGATCCACCTTCCCCCTTGAGTTTCCAAATCTGGATTTGAGGTATGGGTTTAGAAATTAAAATGTTCTTAAACAAACACTAATAATGGGTTTTATATATTCTAAAGATTAACGTTCATGAGTGAATTGTAATTCAAAGGGTGCAAGGGTTGCTAATAGTTGTTACTCCCTACATTCTTAGCACTATTCATAAGATGAGATAATCTTCTAAATTAAACTTAATATATAAAACATAATAATCATTTTGGATTTTATTTGATTCATCTTATGAGTTTTATATATTCTAAACTCATACTTCATACCAAATTTATTTGAATCAAACACTCTCTTAGTTTTTAAGATTAGCGTTCATGAGTGAATTGTAATTCAAAGGGTGTAAGGGTTGCTAATAGTTGTTACTCCCTACATTCTTAGCACTATTCATAAGATGAGATAATCTTCTAAATTAAACTTAATATATAAAACATAATAGTCATTTTGGATTTTATTTGATTCATCTTATGAGTAGATAATTCAATTATTATATTTTAAATTAAGTGCAACTAAAGATATTTATGGTCATAATATTACATTGTTAAACATGTTCAATCGAAATGGGAAGAACTTTTAGGAATAGAGGGAGTAATTGATTAATGAGTTTAGTATTTTGTCCTATTACACTAAATCTCATATTCCGTTGTCTTTTATTTTTGCACCTTACATTTGTTCATTGTTTGTATTTAGCTAATCCTAACATCAACAACAACAATAAATGAAGCAACGGATGGTTAATTCTTTGTCCATGGATCTTTTCCTCATGTTTGAATGAATTGTATCCTTATCCAGATGCTCTTTTGATGTTTTGAACTCTAACATTCTCTTAGAAAGGACTGAATATACTACATCTAACATAGGACCTAAACAATTGATTCAATTATTAGGGTCTCCAAGACAACATACAACACCAACTTAAAAATGAAGCAAGAGATACACCTTGAAACTAAACATTGAGGAAGCTTGAAGTACAAATTTGATGATACAAAGTTTTCAGAGTTGGTCACTAAAAAAAAGAACGACACATTAAGTTAAATAAAAGCATCCTGGATCACTCACATTATTTTGAGCCTTGACTTGATCAAGAGCAAGTAAAAATTGGTTGTAGGCCTCTTTGTCAGTCAAAAGTTTCCGAAGCTCATCAGCACTGTAATAAAGGACAGAAAAGGTGAATTCATCAGTTCCAAGCAAAAAAGGAATTCAGCTAACGAGCAAGAAGACAAACATTAAAGGCCTACCAAGATCCCAGGGTTAATCTATCACTATAAATATTATTTCTCTATAATTATCACAGCTTCTTCCTTATGTACATTTTGGCATGGAATTCACATGGACATCCTCAAATCCATAAGTCACACTCTCCTGCTGCTCTACTCAGATACTAATAAGCCTCGATAAACAAGTGTGCCACATAGTAATTACAGTCATGCAAGGTCAGCTAAATATTTCCTTGGTCCCATAGTGACAACAACAGACTTTCAGTCTCCAAAGTACTGCTTTGACCATAGATAAAACATTAATTATGCGTAAAACTAAAAACATTGATAGGTTCAATATTCACACTCTGATAAACCTAACAAGACGGAGACCCGAGGGTGCATCAACACGAAGAGTGGAAAAGTGGGACCGTGGAGGGGTTAAAAGAGGGAGAGGGAGACCGAAAATGACTTGGTTGGAAGGAATTAGGAAGGATATGAAGTATATGGATTTGCATGAGGATGAAGCATTGGATCGTAAGGGATGGAGGAGGAAGATTTTGTCGATGACTACACGAAATAATCACTTTTGGTTCATGTAGCCGACCCCACTTAAGGGACTAAGGCTTTGATTGACTGATAAATCTAACAAGATCTCACATAGTTATGTTAGTTTATACATAGTTAAGAACATATGCTATCAAAGTTTTCTTTGACGTTGAAAGCCAAATTGTTGCAATTCGTATGGGCCAAATACACGAAGAGAGATATATTAGCATCATGTATTAATACTATACTAGACAGTTTTCACATGAAGAAAGGCCAAAATCATAGGCAAACACTTAACCATTCCAAACAAACCCAAAAAATATTAATAACAAGTACGAGTATTAGCTAGAGGAAAGGAAAGTGGACGTAGCACCTTGCACCTTATTGGTGCTGATAACAAATGAAAGGGTCAAAAAAAGAACAAAAGCATTAGAGCACACACTTTAAATATTTCTTGGGGATCTAGTAACATGGATGAGTTCTAGACAACCAGCCTTATTTTATGTTACTCTTCAACTACTTCTCGATTGATAATTGATAATCTTAAATTAGCTTTTGTAGTAGATATTGGTTATTCTACTACCTAGATTGGTGAGCGGGTGGCGTCATTGAAAGTTAGCTATCAAAGTTGTTGTTTGATACATAAGTGCTTCCTCTTTATTTAGATGAAATACTTTAATTTTTCACGCTTGCCAATGCATATATTCAAGAATTCAACCATTAATATTTCCTTCGTTTCTCAATACATTAATCATCATTACCTAAAATTATTTTTATTTTTTATAAAAAAGTGATATTTGTGTTTCCAAAAAAAAAAAGGGGGATATTTGGAAACTATGTTTTCATTGCGAAAAAAATGAACAAAAATTATAGATTGTCCAATCGGTGAATAGTGTAAATTTGAAAATGTCTCATCTTTAAAAAATAAAATATAAGGAGGTACATTATATATATATATATATATATATATATATATATATATATATATATATATATATATATATATATATATATATATATATATTAGTTTGAACTTAAATTTGTAGCTTTTGCCAACCACAACTCCCAAGTGCTAGTTTTATTAGTTTTTGTGAAGTGCTACCTCTAAAGCTAAAAGCTAACATCCAACACAACCTTACTGAACACTACTATTAGGAATTTACTAGGGTGATTCCAAAATATATGCTTTATTTGGAATATTTGTTAATATTATGCCTGTGACTCTGTGGCTGTGGTAGACATACACAAATATAGGGGTCTTTTCATATTATTAAGTTAAAACATTTTATTCAATTGAAGTTAGAAAACTAGGGACAGAGCTATATCAGTATTTATGTTGTGTTCAGCTATACAGTATACACATTCCACCAGAAGCTAATTAACTAGATATTAGAAACAAATTGGATATTAGGATTACAAATATTCTCCATCACCAAGCCTTAACCCACCCAGTGGCTGAACCACTTGGGTAGATGAAAATTCAAAATACCACTCCACGAATACCAATTCAGTCCTTTTCCATTATATGCCCCACACTTACATGATACAGCCAATCAGTATAAATAAACAAATCGACAGACAAAGATGATTACCTCTTGTCCTTCAATGATGAAATTATTCCAGCAGCTTCAGCAGGTGAGACATGCAAAGGAGACTGTGGCCGTTCAAAAGGTCTCTGTACATTATAGCTGCTAGGAGCATTGCTACCAGCTGTTGATGGTCGAGAATAACTTGAGGAATTGGCTACAAAGGGAGGGTACCATGATTGTGAAGGAGCATCCTGTGGACGAGATTGTGATTCTTGGTCCTGAGATCCCCTATAAGCAACAAATATGAAGGCCATTACAAATACTCCGCATGGTAGATTGAATGGGGAAGAGCAACTAATAAGAATCCAACTTAGACTATCAAAAATTATACTGTGTAGGCCATACTAAAAGTCACAACATGATGATGTATAGGTCAACTTATCGATTGGTTGTTCCATGTTTGTCAGAAAGCCACCTCAATGGCAATCAAAAGTCACCCCATGATTAAATATAATTCATCCTAGACTAAGTAAAGAAGGAGTGTTGGGTATGGGTAGAAATCCGAGAGTCCAGTATGGAAATTCCAAAATATTGGGACACGGGAACTCTATCCGGGATTCGGATACAGGTATGGGGACATGGGCACACGACAATTAATGTATAAGCTATTTTACATGGACTCGCCTAAGAATATCGCGTATGGGTATAAATCCAAGTGTCCAGTACGGCGATTCCAAAAAATTGGGACATGGGGACTATTCGAGATTCGAAATCGGGTAAGAGGACACAGGCACACAGAAATTAGTGTATAAAATATTATATAAATTTCATTACGTTAAGGAAATCTAATAACAAAAACAATAATTAATCTTCTTTTATACTATCAATTACATTAAAGAAAAAAAAATATTTAAAAAAAAGTCACTGTTGAAATAAATACAAGAAAACAAAGTGTCCACTTGTCCAATTTCCATAAACTAATAAAGGGATTTTCCATTTGGTATCATTGTACTTTGGGCTTTTCCATTTGGTACCCAATTTTTATTTTTATTCCGCATGGTACCATTGTAATTTTGACTTATTATCTACTTTAACATCCCGCTAAATAAAAGGAAAATTTGTCAATTAAAAACCTTTTAAAAGCACCATTTTGCGAAAAAAAAAAGTCATTTTCAAAGCTTTATCGTAAAACAAAACCTGATTTTGAAAATTTTTTGTTGAAGACAACCTAGTGCCTCTAATACACTTAATTATTTTCTAGTTTCTTCTAATTACCCTCTAACTCTCACTTAACCATTTAATAAATTAATTAATTTATAATTAAAATATTAAAACCACCACCCCCTCCCTTTCCCCGTCCCTGGCAGCCGCCCCCACCCCCAACGACCTACCTCCACCGTCGGCTGACCCTCCTCCCTTTCCCCCTTACCCCCGCTGCAACCCTCCCCCCTCTCTAAAAATCGACCGAGCATGAATCGCCTTGAGTATAAACAAACGGCGACGTTTGATTGAAAGTATGAGGAGGTGTCAGCCCATGGAAGCGCAAAAGAATTAGGCGAAGTTTCAAGTGAAACCAGAAACTTGGATTGATCCGAGAAAGTAACAGTAAGACGGCACTTTTAATGGGGTCAATTTCAGAGGAGAGAGAAAGTGGAATATGCGTTTTGGTATGGAAGTGATGGAAAGAGCGCGAGTATCGAATGAGAGGTCGCTGGAGAAAGGAGAGGAGAGAAAGAGGAGTCTGGTGGAATGGATTATTGAGGAAGAGAAGTCGATGAAGAGAGAGAGTGAGATGTGGGTTGTGAAAAGGTGAGTTGAATCATTGTATGAGTGAGGAGCGATTGGCGCCATTGATGAAGGAATTAGGGTTTTGAAGGTTTAACAATGGCGAAAAAGAGGGAAGGAGATAGGAGGATGGGTTGTTTCGTGGTGGTGGAAGGGAGGGGGAGGGTTGTTGGTGTTGGGGTTTAGGGAGGGGTGGAGGTAGGTTGCCGGGGGTGGTGGCGGCTCAATTGGGGGAGGGGGAAAAGGAGGGGGTGGCTAGCTGGTGGTGGGGGTGATGGCTTTTTTTTATAAATTAATTTAATTATTAAGTGGTTAAGTGAGAGTTAGAGGGTAATTAGAAAAAATTAGAGGTTAATTAAGTGAATTAGAGGCATTAGGTTGTGTTCAACAAAAAAATTTCACAATCAAGTTTTCTTTTACAATAAAGCTTTTACATTTTTTTTTTTACAAATTTTCCTAAATAAAACATTAGTTTTGGGCATTTATGGCCCATTTTTTCTAATTCGATTTCAAAGTTTGATCCTTTAAAGTCATGTGGACCCTTAAAACTTTAACCATACATTTTTTAATCAAAATATGCGAATCAAGACTTTTTTCACGTAAACCAAGAATAGTGGTAACGTCATCTCTCTCCTCACCCATTAGTTTCACCAACCACTTTTGAGGAAGTACAAATGGAGGTTTGATATGAATGTATAAAAACATATCAAAAATTATAATTGTTAAAACACATGAAAGAGAGAGAAAGGTTGAGAGTTAGATGGGTGGAGCCCACCAATCTTTTGGTCAAATTGTCATCACATGATGGGAACCTTAGATACAGCGGTACTATATATTGAGTTAGTACCACTGTATACATATATAATACCACTACATGCATTTATGGTATTAGTGTTATTATTTGATCATCGAATGATAATACTCTAAATTCAAGATATACATTTGCCCATACATACATGTAATTACTTATATACCCTCGATTATCTATAAGAAAATACATAACCGTTATACCTTAAAAACTGTTTCCCACCTTTTCAATCTCACTGGTTTTCGTGTTTACAACTGTATTTCTTATTATTCTTTTTCTTTTTTCTGGTTCTCTCCCAGTTTCTCATGAATGGATGAGCCAATATTTAGATCTAGAGTTTGTAGATTTGTACAACTAGCAGTGCAGAGTCAATGTAAAAAGAGGCTTTAAGACTCTTTGAAGTGAGGCGCACAATGTAAAACATTAAAGAAATTTGCCTATGTGCGCCTCATGGTGCGCCTCATGCGCCTTAGGTGTGCATCTTTGAATGCACCTCACTTAGAGCAAAAAAGGCGCTCTACCTTAATCACCTAGCGCCTTTTTATAATCCGGTCCAAGTGCATTCCACTGAGTCGATGCCAGATTTTATACTCGTGTCGATGTCGTGTTGTGTCGACACGGGTATGTGATGAATTTTGCCAAGTCTATGTAACAGAGCCTATATGTACTCAAAACAAGACTTCCTATTTAGGAGTATCTACTTTAGAGAAGCGCCATGAACCCTCTACAAACTAATAGAAAAAAAAAATTGTGCACGTCACGACTTACATAATCGAATATATACATGGAAAACAATCAAAATAATACGAGAAATAAGAGCATGTTGGTATAGAGTATTTAAGGGTGAAAAGGGAATTAATTAGTTGTTTCCATTTCCAGAAGGTAACCATTACCATTTACCTTCAATTATGTTAAAATAGCACCCCCCCCCCCCCCACAATCCCTATGATAACAAAATTGCCTCCCCCTTTGATCTTCAATTAATCAATTCAATACAAGGGGTTCCTTTCCTTAGGTATACAATTACCCTTTCTCTTCTTATTTTTCTCCACCCCGTTTTCTTTCCTAGATTCATACCAAACATGCACTAAGTCAATATGCACAGCCAGCAAGCAAAATTATTTACTTCTATAATCCCATAAGATAGCTCTCCAAAATCCCATAAGATAGATCTCCAATGGTTATTACTTTCCTGAAATCTCCAGATATTAACTCAAGTCTAATAGCACGTCAAAAGTCAAAACATAGAGACAACAAAGCTCGCTGCAGATTCCAATCCCAAATCTCACAGTGTTTCACGGACATAAGCCCAAATCCCCAAAGTGCAAGAAAGTGATTTTCCATGAACTTACCATAGCTAAAGCACATAACTCAAACACTAAGACAACGCTTAGAATTAATGGCACCAAATTAAATATCTAATGCAAAAACTATTATGAAAGATAATACGACCATGTGAAACATTGCAGAACAGTAACAGATTACACCCAAATGGGATAGTAAGACCCTATAGCCCTCAGTAAGCATTCCCTCCCTCTAAAGTCCTTCCTCCACCTATTTCTAACAATCATCACTATTTCACCACCACCTTATCATTCAATATAACCCTCAAATATATTGCCATCATTCCAATTGTTGCTTAAGGACCAAACTCATTCGATAGCTGAATACACAGATAGGCAATAAAATAGACCCTTTCAAATCACGCAGTCCAATCATAGATTCAATTTACTAAAACCCTTATATTTCCAATCAAAACTAAATACAGAAAAATCAAAATTACGATTGTTCATACTCAGAAAAACCCTTCAAATTGGGCAATCGAATTTTAGAAACATATGATCGTACTAAAACTATCAATAATTCAATTAACTGTACCTCACAGGAAATTCAAAATAAATTTATGTTTTCTACCTATCACAAATTCCATAATTTTGATTAACATTCAAACTCATCTAATTCTAAAATTTTGATAAAAATAAGTTCAAATTCATTAAACTGATTGAACAATTAACGAATAAAGAAGATCAAACAACATCGATAATTCAACCTAATAAATTGAATTAATTGAAAAAAGCTAGACAAAATCATATGAACTTACCAGAATTTGAACATCGAGGATTGAAGCAACGAATTGAAATCGAGGTTTGGATGAAGAAAATAGCTAAACAAAAAAAAAAAAAAAAACAAGGAAAGAAATTGGAAAGGAAAAAGGAAAGTTAGAATGATTAGTGATGAAAGAGAGAGGAAAAGTGAAGACGATAGAAATCGTCTACTTTCTCTCCTTTGTCCAAAAGGAGTAATTTTAGGAAGAATGTAAACTTCGATTAAACGGTGCAGTAGTAAAACCTGCCCTTATCTGACAAATAAAAATAAAAAAATAAAAAATAAAAAAAAAAGTTGAATTATTTTTTTATAAACTTTTTTTTTAACGAATATAATCTTAAATTATTTTTAGGAAATTTTGAATTTTAACACCACAAAAAAGCCAAAAAATAATTTTCAACTCTACAAAAAAAAAACTTTTATTTTAACACCACTTAAAAAATTAAAATTTTGAAATTACCACCTAAATCCAAGTTTCGTTAACGGAACAGTTACTAAGGCCCACTCCAACGGATACTTTTTTTATTTTCCTATAATTAGTCACGATATTCTCCTTGTTCTTCCGTTTTACAATTAATCTTATACTTGAATCTGTAGGTTTTGAACAAAATTGCAAGAATTCGAAGAGGGGATTGCACGATAACCATCAAAGAGCAAGAGATTGAAGATGGTATTAGGTATGTATGCACATAATGCGGAAGTTGACAAATTATAGCCCTAATTGAAATCCTTTTGTTTGATAATTAGATGCGTAATTGATTATCTTTAGCCATTTAAGCATGAGTTTTCGTTCTTATTTTGTCGAATTGATGGATTAATCAGTGCATATAATACTGAATTGCCCAATTTCAGAATTAGGGTTCGTCAGAATTCAAAATTGGGGGTTTTTGTATTAGGTAATTATAATCAAAATTAGTGTTGTAGAATGTGAATTAGTTTGTATACACATCATTGAAGGTGGTTTTTTTTATGTGAAATCAATGCAAGTTATGTCATTTATTAGCTTGTCTCCTTCAAAGGACCAAAAATGCCAATGTGGTTTGCCAATATCAAAGCTTACTAGCTGGACTAGGGAGAACCCAGGGATGAAGTTCAGATCCTGCAAGTTTTTTGATCCAATTACAGAAAACAAGGGGGTGCAAGGCGTTTCAATGGGTTGATCAATCTGATGGAACAGAGTGGCAAACACAGGTTATTAACAACCTGTTGTTGGACAAGAAGCTGCTGAATGGTGAAGTTAATGAATTGAAAAGGGAAGTTGATGATATCAATGAACAAAGGAGGTGCTTGTTAAATGAAATTGACAATCTGAAGATGAGGTACAAGGCCTTAACTGCTGACAGGAAGAAAATGAACAGAGAAGTCAAGCAAGGAAAGATGTCCTCCTTGGACTATGCTGTTTCTGTTACCAAAATCATTGGTGTTGCAATGTCATTGTGTGGGCTATGTGTAATAGTTAGGGTTGTTTAGTGTTGAATCTTTTCCTAAGTTGTAATGAATTTAAGGGTTGCTTATGTTTGTACCTTTTTTTAAAAAAAAATTTGCTTTGAACAATGCAACGTAAGTTTGAAGCTTTGCCTCCAAATAAATTAAGTTATAAACAACTATTTCAAACAACACTTTCCCTTCAAATATATTAAGTTTAGAGGCATTCAGAGCCTTACAAAAGTAGTGTTGTAAAAATGTTCAGAAACTAAGAAATAAAACTACTGTTCATAATAAGTTAAGAGGCATTCATTGCATTACAAAAACTGATAATATTGTTCTAAGGACTGAATTCATTAAAACATCACTGAGTCAGATTCATCTTGTTGTAAGTTTGAAGCTTTGCCTTGGTAATCACTCCACTTGGTGTTGCACTTGTTGCTGATTGACTTAAGGGAGTTTTGGTCTGAGCTTTGGCCTTAGGCTCTTTCTTTTATGGCTTTTTGGATGGCTGACTTGACTGACTTTGATCAGGAAGCTGCTTGCTTAGAAAAAGACAACCTGGTTGCTCCTGGGGAAACTTCCTGTTCCCAATGCTATTTGGTCCTACCCCAACTACAGATTGTCAAAACCATAACAGCAGTATTAAGCATAGTTGAGGTTGATAAAAAGAACAGATTAATAACAGTAACAACATGTTAGACCAAATACCTTTTTAGCAGCTCTTAACTGTTTCACCTTTCTCTGCTCTTCTACCCAAGGTGAGTTAACAGGTGGCCTCCCTGCTGACTTTGGCATGTCAAAATTTGGTTGAGAAGGGAGTTTTCATGTCTTTGAATAATGCCCAAAGCCACCACAATTCTTGCATTGGTTTTTCCTTTTAGATGTGCTTGCCTGGGCCCCAGCAGAAGACCCCTCTCCTGGTTCCAACTTTCTCTTCTTACTTTTTGGTCTCCCTGGCTGAAATTTGATTGCTAGTGGTTGTGGTTCTCTCATTTGAACTCTTTCCCAGTGCTTTGGTTATAGGCTGAACTAGGGGTTCATATGTTGCCCTGTACTTGTCCAGATTGTAGTAGCTATGAACATATGCTTCTATGTCTGCCCTACTGTCCAATATGCAGGCATATGCATGCACAGAGGGAATTCCAGTTAATTCCCAGTGGTAATAACTGCAAGTGCAGTTAGCTAAGTCAACTAACACCTTGTCATCTTTCAGCTGCACCTCATACGTTTCCCCCCTTGATGGTTGCACTACACAAGACCTAGCTACATACTAAATCATCTCCAACAACTTCCTCACATATGGCACCAAGTTGCCTGTCATGTGCTTTGAATCCTCCCACTTCTCATTGTTCCTATGCATCATGTATCTCCTCATCCATTCCATCTGGGTGAGGATAGGCTTGTCTCTTGCATCCCTTATCACTGCATTGAAAGTCTCACACATGTTGTTCAACAATATGTTAGACTTGCAGTTTGGTGTGAAAGCATATCTACACCAATGATGAGTGGGGATGTTTTACAAATACTCATAAGCCTCTTCAGACATGAATTTGATTGAGTCCATTTGTGTCTCAAACTCAAATTGATAATTTTCATACACAACCAACAACAACCACATTCAGACTAACTAAATGACAACATAGGTAAACAAAGTAGGAACATGTTGCACAAATAAACAAAGTAGGAACTTACAAAAGTTGTTACCCTTGCTGCACTCCAGAATAGTTCTTTGAACACTGTTCTAGTAAATTTGAGCTTAAAGTTGGCCCATATGTTCCTTACACAAAAATGAACCTCGGCCGCCTTTGGTACAACTTCAGCCATGGCTTCAATCAAACCCTGCCAAAGATAGCTCAACTTTGTAACTAAATGGTTGCATGACATTAAACAAAGAAAAAATGAAAGATAAGAAAAGAAAACCATACCTTTTGTCTATCAAACATGAAGGTGAAGCCAGCTCCTTGATCCCCACCAAGCATCTCAAGTAGAGACTCAAATAACCACACCCAAGTTTCTTTATTTTCTATCTCCACTATAGCCCATGCTATAGGGAATAGGCTGTTATTTCCATCCTTAGCCACAACAACCATAATTTGTCATGGGTAAGCACCTTTAAGGTGGCAGCCATCCACACCAATGAGTGGCCTACAACCCCTCAAAAACCCGTCTCTCAAAGGCCTCAAACATATGAACATCCTTAGAAATAGAGGTGGCTCAGGCTGGTCAATACCAACAACAACCACATTGCAACCAGATTCAGGGTTATACCTCATAACTGCTTTCCCATAGTCCCAAACCCTAGCATACTGTTCCCTAGCTGATCCAAAGTAAGCAGCTTAGCCCTGCACCTTGCTAGTCAGGCCTTGAAATAACTAACTTCTATTCCAAAGTCATTCAGGACCCTATCCCTATACTGTTTAAGGTTACTTCTAAAATATTCCAAGTATCTCTCCACTCTGTACTCAGCTGTTATCATCCTATTTTTCTTGATCCTAATGCAAGTGTGTTTCAACTTCAAGCTTTTAATTTGCGAGGTTTGTTGCTTAACCAATTTCCTAGCATGGACCTTAAAATAACACTTCACTCCACCCACACAAGTGCATGCAGGCATCCTACAGGTGTAGCTATTAAACCTATAGTCACATCTTGACCTACATTGCAATGTAATCCTAGTGTTATCATTATGAAAATAGTAAAACTCATACCTGTTTTGAACAGCATGCAACCTCAATGCCTTTCTCAAAACTGAAGCATTACTGAACTTCTGCTTTAACTTCAGATCTAAAAGTTTGTTGAAGTCTACAGTTGCATTAAATCATGGAGCATTGTCAATTTCTTCATGAAAACCAACCACACTTCTGGAGTCATTAGAATTAGCCTCACCCTCTTCCTTTGACTGGATATGACCTATGTCCAGATCCTCATTCAATTGTGACCTGGGAGCTTTCTCTATCCCCTGATCTTTTTCACTCCCAAGACCCTTTGTAAGACTCTTATTCACCTTCTCAAGAATATGCCCTGATGTTTGAATAAACCACTCTTCATCACCTTCATCAAATTCTTCTTCTCTAGGTTCCCAATTCAAATCATCTTCACTATACTCTGAACTTGAGTACTCAGATGCACTCCCATCATCTTCAGGGTCATATTCAAACACCAAATCTTTCCCTTTCCCCTTTGCCTTAGCTTTCCCCTTTGCCTCCCCCCCCCCCCCCCCACTACCAGATGCATATATTCCAAACTTAGCTAGTTTTTCCTTCCCTGTTTTTGTAAGATGAATGGTCCTAGGTTGTGGACTGTTTTCCTCTTCAACTACTTCACTATGTGCTTTGTTTAACCTAAGAATTTTCCTAACTGGCATAGCCAGTGGCAGACCCACGTGTAATCATAGTGGGTCCGCGGACCACCTATTATTTTATAAAAAAAAAACTAAGTATTAAGATGTTTAGCTTGCAGCCTAGTGGTTTTTTTCCCATCCTACCACACACGAGATGTGGGTTCGAATCCCATTACTCACGAACTTTTTTTTTCCTTTACAACCTCACTTTCAATTTAGAAAACTCAGAACATTTCCCCAATTCCCCCAAATTGAAACCCTAAGCCTCAAAGTTCGCCCAAATCGCAGCCCCGTGCCCCCGTCGCCGTTCATTGAATCACCGGCTGCCTTTTCGTGCTCCTCCGTCAGGCGTCAAACGTGAGGCGCCATTGCCTATGAGTGATGTGAGTCTGTCTGTGCAGTGGCTCCCCTCCTTTGTGGAAATTCGATTTTTTTGAGGTTAGTTCCTTTCTCTCTCCTGTTAAGTCTTAACCCATGTCTTCTACTCTTCTTCTCCTCGATCAGA